AAAAAAAGGAAGTCTTCTAATACCTTCTAAGTCCATTGAGAATTTAATATTTATTTCATGTTGGTTAAGTGAAAATAGAAAACTATCAGCATTTTCCTTATCATGCTGCCGGATCACAAAATAATCATCCATAGATCTAGCTAAAAGCAGAGCTGAGCAAGAGTTCATTGCAAGTTCTTACGTTGTTCATAAAACTTACCGTCAAAAGTGAAATAAGTACTACTCATAGATGGATTAAGAAGCCTCAGAATGTAGGCTATACTCAACTTAATTCCATCCATAATATCTCAATATTCCTCAAGAGTGAGCAGTAGAGTCTGAATTGCCCCTTGAACTGGAACATTTGCCTACAATGATATTGCGTCAAAATTTACTGGTATGTCTTCAGAAATATTTTTCTGGTCCACTAGCTTAACAAATTCATGTGCATTTTCAACCGAAAATAACTTCACTTTGGCCAGGTAGTTATCCCAAAAAAATACTTTTCTCTGAGCAGTGTATGTAGATATTTGTGAAAGCCAAAAAGAGGTGGAGCCATGGGTAGTTCATGATATTTAAAGAAAATGCTTGTGCATTTAAATGACATTAATACATATAAACCTTCAATAAAGGATCCTACAGAGGGACTTAAAACTAGGCCAAGAGATGCCTTGAAGGTATGCATAAGCAGTGAAGAAATGGAGGAGTGGAAAATGAATTCCTTACCTGAAATCGATGCTAGGGCACACTTGGTTTAAGGCCCTCCAAAGGAGCATACAGATTTATTGTAAACAATACGGGTATTGTTATGCATCAAATATCACGTTTTTTATGCGGTCAATTAAGAAAAGTGATCGAATTCTGATTATTTTTGGTTTAAAGTCTTATGGATTTATTAATCTGATGAACCAGCAATCTCAGTTATGGTCGGTTTTGCGTACAGACGTAAACACACACATACACACATACACATACGTACTCGAGAATACATGACTTGATCAAACCTTCCTATATCCGCCTATCTTTAAAATTGTTCTTGCAATGAGTATGTATATGATATAGAAAAAAGCCGCACTGTCTTTTTGACTTAGTGTTAACTTAAGGCTTTTGCAAGAATTAGTTCCAGCTCTAACGAGGTTCGCCACCTGATGAAAGAAAGCTCAGCTCTTCTTCGCCTGAATCGTTGAAAGATATCCCGTGGACTGCATCAATCTGAGCGTCGTATCAAGGCCAAACGGCTGCAGTACAACGCGAATTAACCAACGTTTTCTGGTGGCAATGTCCTACGAATTCCTTCATCTTGTACTTCCATACGAAATTAAAGTCTTCACAACAATCTCAATAGCATTAACAATCTGTGCCAACTAGAGTGAGAGGGTCAGGGATGAGGGTGATATTGTAAGAATGTAGTCCACCTGTAGATGTTGCCAGATAGCCACAAGGCGTGATGGATTTTCGGGATGGAAGGCGTCATTGTAGCAGGTGCAGTGATGAGCCAGCATTCCCAGATCGTACGCCAAGACCGTCGTGAAGGTGACATCCTGAAGTGGTTGTGAAGGTATATAAGAACAAAAGATAAGCTACGGCAGTTGAAATGAATGTGCCAACTAAGTCATGCTTAGAGATCAGCAAAGTAATTAGAAAATATGAATGAGGGAACAAACCGAAAAAAGAAAAACGCGAACCAACCAGATACTGAGTGAATATATCGCAAAAGTATCGGAAGATCTTGAAGAACTCGAATCACTCTGGGCCATTTCAGGTGATGTAAGGATGGTAAGATGAATTATCCACAAACACAACAATTAGAAGGCATTACGGTACCATTGAGGTTCACTCAGGAGTGCTTTGCAAAATGATTCTTCGTACGGACAGGACTGCAGTTTTCGCCCCCGGTGGCATTCGCAAGGTCTAGCTCGCAGTCAAGTACAGAAATTCAAACATCATCTGTCATAGATACGAAGACCAAGATGGTGCGGCCCTCTGATTGGTCTCAGCCACCTTTAGCTTCATATTGTTGGTTCGAACTTGTTTTCGCAACTTGGTCGGAGCGTCATGGAGACCTCATGAAACATACCTAGTTCCGCATCCTCTGCCAGAGTATTCGTGATTTCCAGCATTCGACGATTGGCTGGGTACATTTCCAAACGTTTCACTGACGTGGTCATTGCGAAGCGCCATCGTCAGTACAGTTACAAATGATCAAAATGAAAAGTGAAGGCAGTCCCCTTAACAAATGTTCTGTTCAACCGCAGTGAAATCTTTGTTCACCCCTATTTTTCGTTCCACTTTATGGTGCTATCAAGCCTTTCCCATCCCACTTTGTATGGTGAGATCGTCGATGAAACAAGACTGTGATTGCTATTACAATCGACCGCATTACTTATTTTCATTTTTAAGTAGGGTCTCCAGACTACCAGTAGATCTTCGTAATTGAGTAGGGTTTCGAGACTACCAGTAAATCAGTGTAATGAGATGTATTCACCCTATTTCGTCCAAGGTGAT